CGTGAAGATTGGCAGGGTTGTGTACTGCATGACCTAGAATGGTTTTGTGTTGAGTGGACCTAGATTATTAGGCCTTCTGCAGATGCTCCTTCCAATTTAAGACGCTGATTTTTACTTTGATACCATGTTTTTGCTAGTAATAGTTCTGATGAGAATTCTGGAGATCCTGACTTCTGTACTTTTTGTGTAATATTGTTTGACAATAAAATTATTGATGTTTTCTAGGCACCGAACATCTAAGCGTTTTGCTTCTTACCGCAAGTGTGACCATCTCTGCTATAGTGTTCAACGTAAGTAGTGTTCATACCGTCACAGCAGGAGGATATCTGTGTTCACTAATACGTTGGTTTATGGTCTTTGCTGTCTCCTTTATGCACTGGTACTGGTTACTGCAGTACTGGCTATTTAACCAGATTTCTGACGGTTGCCATGGAACTGGTTGCTACTTTCATCTGCCTCCCTGTGGGTAATGGAGGAACGCTGCTGGCGTTACTATTGACGGGTAAGACAATGTACGTGGTGGAGGTTAACTAGTTAGTGTGTCATAGTTGCTCTATCTAATGATGTAGTAAGAAGAATTTCTACAATCAGAGATGGTGTTGGGAGAACTGTAGCTTCTCGAAAACACTTCTGATATTCCTGGCTCCTCGAGAAAGCATTGTTACGAGATCCTATGGGCAATATTGTAAAAATTGATGACACACTGCTTGGTTCTGGTACTATGGTACGAATGGAAGTGTATAAGCTCGTTCTCTTTGGTGAGCTTCCAGTAAACTCTAAATGTCACTCTGTTGTCACCTCTGTGTAGGATATCCAGGAAAAATAAACGGTTTTTCCCCCTCTCCTCTAACGAGAATTTAATGGTGAGCTCGACATTGCCAAATGTGGTTGGACGCTCTAGATATTGAGTCTCTTGGGAAAGACAGTTGTAAATCAGCAACGCAGCATAGCCTTCTAATGGTGCTGGCTATATCAGGAAGAATGTGGAAGGAATCGAGGTGCTGCATATATACAGAAAGATTAGCTACCACAACACTTACGGGGGAAATTCATGGAAATCGCAAAACAGTGTCTGTTATATTTATCCTCTTAGCGTAAGAGTTGCAATTAAGAGTGGTCAAAATTATATCCTTGTTCCAAAATTATATAAAAAGTCTGGTAAGGCAGACAGAGACAGGGAACTATGAGTTCATGATTGGTGACCGTCACAGACTTAGAACAAGAAAGTGAAGTTCTTCAAGGGAGCACAAAATATCAATTCAGAGACTGGCAGGAAATTTGGAAGAATCATATTATAATTCGAAGTAACGAGAGAGAACAGTACACCAGACCTTCCTACGTCCTCAGACTATATTGACAATCCTGAAACAATTGAATCAGACGTTATTTTATTTTATTAATAACACATCGACCGTTCCCACCAAGGCAGAGGACCTGAAAAATAAAAACTTATATTATCATTCACTCCATCACTGTCTTGCCAGAAGGGTGCTTTACACTACAGTTATAAAACTGCAACATTAACACCCCTCCTTCAGAGTGCAGGACACTGTACGTCCCATCTCCAGGAACTCAAGTCCGGCCTGCCGGTTTCCCTGAATCCCTTCATAAATGTTACTTTGCTCACAGTCCAACAGCACGTCAAAGTATTAAAAACCATTTGTTTCATTCACTCCTATCAAACACGCTCACGCATGCCTGCTGGAGTCCAAGCCCCTCCCCACACAAAACGTATTTGCTGAACATCGAAATTTTTTAT